AATAAACAATTTGGGAATGTCTTTAATCAACACATTTTATTATATATATGTTATTACTTACTAGCATATACATTTAATAAAATATAGGAAACAGAAATATTGGGTTGTTCGGAAAGTAAGTTCGTTTTTTTTACCACAAGACGGATTAGTGGTATTTTTCCCGCCATTTTCGTTCTAAACCGTATTATCATTATATATTTTGACAGCTAGCATTTTATGGCTTATTTGTAAAAAAAATTTTGTTTCATTTCGTGCAATTGCTTATTTTTTGTGTCCCATCAAATATGGAAGATCGAAAGCAGCATCTTCGGCATATTTTGCTTTTTCATTACAAAAAAAAAAAAATAAAAATGCCGTTCAAGCAAGAAAAAAAAATCGTGTGACATGTATGATTGAGATGTGTTGACAGAACGACAGTGCCAAAACTGGTTTACAAAATTTCGTTCTCGCAATTTCAGTATTGAAGATGTACCACGTTATGGATGGCCAATTGAAGCCAATGAAAATCAAATAAAAGCACCGATTGAAGCAAACTGCGGAATAACAACACGTGAAATCACTAAGAGATTAAATTTGTCAAATTGAACTGTTTATGAGTACTTGAAACAAATTAGTTTCGTTTCAAAGCTCGATATATGAATTCCACGAGTTCTTAAAGAGAAATGCTCTATTTGGTGGGATATTAAGGAAATTTTTTTAGAGCTTTTACCAGACAATTTAACAATTGATTCGAAAGTATACTGCATTCGAGTAAACAAATTGCGTAATATCATCAAACAGAAAAAGCCGGCCAGAATTGATTAAAAAAATAGCTGTAGTGTTTTACCACAATAATGTCAAATTTCACACAAGTTTGGTAACTCGTCAGAAACTGTTGTAACTTAGATGGGACGTGCTATCACACCAACCGTATTCGCCAGATCGAGCATACTCAGATTATTATTTGTTCCGGTCTGTACAATTTTTTAACTGTAAGACATTTACTTGAAATGACAATGTCAAAAATCACTTTGATCGGTTTTTTGTAAGCAACGATCAAAACTTTTATGAATGTGAAATCGTGCTACTACCAGAAATGATGACAACAGGTATTTGACCAAAATGGTCAACATATAATTGAATAAAATATTTATTTATCATAAGAATATTGCGTTTTTTTTTCCACGGAAAAAAAAACGAACTTACTTTCCAAACAACCCAATAGCAATAAAAATTGGAAATTTTGTAAAACATGTAAAATGTTCAATTTTTATAATTATATGAGCATTTAAAAAATCCTTTTATTAAATACAACAAGTTTCAATAAAATGTTTCATAAATCATTTTAAAGTATGCTAGAAAGCTAGAACTTCTGTAAAGTAATTGAAAAGTTCCTTTATCAAAAAAAAAAAAAGTTGCTAGAAACAGTGTAAAAGATTTTTGTCAATTAATTTGCTTTATATATCCTGCGGATACATTGCTCCAAGTAAGCTTTTAGAATTAAAATCAAATAACACATAAATATAAATTGATTAGAATTTTTAATATCACCAATTTTACAATTATCTGTTTAGAGAACATTGAAATACGTTTTTATGTGTTTGTAAGAGGAGAAAAATGAAGGAATTGTATATTTTGTTCTTTGCAAATTTAAAATTCTAATAAAATTTTCAAATTTTCCAACAATAAGTTTGAAGTTTATAAATTTTTCGTCTAGAAGCGATCAAATATTGAAAACGATCAAAATCTGTGTTTTTACTTATTGAACATGTTTCTCTACATACTTCGAAAAATTGATCATCTGCTTGAAGGTTTTCGACATTGCTAATCTCTAGGCAGTATCTTGCATAGAATTATGCTAAAAAATTTTAGACAGATCTAAAAATTTTTCGACTAGAAGCAATCAAATTTTGACAACCAGATAAAGCAGTATTTATTGCTTTTTAAGGTGTTTATCGACAAGTTTATAAATTTTTCGTCTAGAGTAAAAGATTTTTAACATAGGAAGGATAGAAAGTTGACCATCTGTGGCCGGTCCTTGCCGAGTAGCTTGTTCGGCAACCGAATTATCGTACCGCAACCGGTGCAATTATGTGTTCGAAATTCTGTTTATGAACCGATTTGTTCGAAAACGTAGGTTTGACTGTAATACAATATATGCTTATGCAGGGTTGGAAAAAATTACTAAATTAATTGCTAAGTGAAAGTATCAAAAAGTCACAATAAGTGATATTTTCTTCAAATTACCTGAAAAAATTTATTGTGGAATTTTTTCAACTTATATATAATTTTTTACTGTATTATATGAGTGAGTTTCAGTTGTATTAATATAATTTCTTTAATATTATTTCATAATTTATTCTTATACTTGTAATAAAAACAATATCTTAGTTTCAAAGACTCAATTATCGTTTAGGCAATATCAAAATCATGAGATCAGATTTTCAACTGATATGATTTGAACTGAGTATTAAAATGACCTATTTGATATAAAATGATATAAACAACATTTAATTTTTTATTATATAAAATAAATATTATTCTGGGGTAAATTAACATTACATACGGGATATATTTTTCACAGTTAAAATCACATGTTTTATCTATTGGAGATGTAAAATTTACTGTACTAATCATTGTTTTATTTAAGAGATTATTTGGATTCATAGCAATTTCAATGTAGAATTCTGATAATTTAGTCTAGTGATTGAAGAAATGATGCTATGTGTGAATATATAAAATATGGGATTTAAGTCATTACACATGTCATATTTAATTAAATTAACTGTCTTGGTAACTGTTTAGTGAAATTTTATGTTGTTAAATTAAAATTGAAGTTTTGTGGCTTATCAAAAACAAATGTTTATTATCATAGTATGTCAAATATATCTAAGTAATTCCCAGTACTTACTGTATTTAAAATAAATACATATCATTATAAAAATGGCATGCTGTTAATAACATTATGTTCTGAATCGAATTCGTGGTGCCATTGTCTGATATTAACGATTCGAAAATTTCTAGCAGTTAACAATAACATCAATTACCAAGCTAAAAATTACTAAACTGAATCTTAAATCTGATATCTATTATCAACACTTATGAACGTTATCTGAAGCTGGAAAGTATGTAACGAAACAATTTGATTTTCTCCGAAGCAGTATTTTCACAGTTGGTTAATTTTATTGATATTAAATTAATAGTATGTAGTATATATTGTTCAACATACAACAGTGCTATTTTGAAGAACAAAATAACAATAGAAATGCAAAAAAAGGTAAAATTTACTGTCATTACTCTTGTTTAGTGTTTAATTAAATTAGGTTTACATCGCACACAGTGTTTAAATTTTCCTTGTTTTTTAATCTTTACCCAAAACGATGCACTTAAATTTTAAAACATATTTTAGAATCTACGTGTTGGACATATTGTACTCCTAAAGATCTTTCCATCATCTTGAAGGATCCACATTCTGTAATGTTTCATGAATACTTTCGGTTAGGATATTGCTATGTCCGTGAAAATAAACTACTTGTTGACATATATTCTTTATTATAATACAAACGTAACTCTGTGCCTCCAGGTCTAAGTGTCACTACAGCTAACGCACGACTGCCCAGAGACAAAGGAACACGACAAAGGTCAAAGGTCGCATAACTAGGTCAAGGGTAAATTCGGTGTGGGTTATCTTCTGGAGGTTTACATACATGTCAGGTATGCTTTTTGTTCAGGATTACCATGCTTACAAATGGGTAAATCGTGAATGATCTTATGCTGTCTCACGTCAACAAATTCAAATTCTATAAATCTTCCTAAAAGCACAATTAGAATCTTCAATAAAACAGTTTGTTCACTTCGTCATAATAATTTATTAATATTTTAATGAAAAAAATTAAGTAAAATATGTATAACATATCAATAAGATACGGGAGATAGGCGACGCTGTAAAATACCATCTTGCAAGAATTAGCCATAACCAAAGGATCCGGGTTCGAATTTAAGTTAACTCAAAAATTTCCAAAGCTGGGTTGATCCGAACATGTTCCTTCCTCATCGCCAGCCATTCTCATAGTAGATCTGGCTGAATTCATGAGATATGAAAATAGATTGTCGGGAGTAATCATAAGATTGCTCGATTGTTTGTTAAGTTACGGAAACGCAACACTTGGGCGATCTGCCTAGTGGGTATGTCTTTCGGGAGGTCATTTATAAGGGTAACTGGCCTTTATTTAGGCCAGTGTTTCTCAATCTCTAACAAATCGTCGCCTCCTTCAACGTAGTATCGCCCCGTTTACTTCAAAATTTCGATGCCGAGGGCCAAGGCTAACGCCAAATTCGCACTGCATTGAATAGAATACTGACTAGTTTAATGTTATTTGTTTAATTATTGTACGATATAACAAATAAAATATCTAATTATTCTTAAGATAATGTTTTACTATATCGCCCAGAAAATTGTTTTTCGCCCCCCAAAATATAAATTGTTACTAATCGCCCCCTCAACACGAAAAAACGCCCACATGAGGCGATATCGCCCTCGTTGAGAAACACTGATTTAGGCGTTACAGACGTAGAGAAAACTTTAAAAACACGTGGGCAGCCCATCCGGGAGAGACACGAATCCACGATCGAACTATTGTTCAGAGAGCGGAACTGCTTGGCCACTGGTGGGCCCGCAAGTTTTCCCGAGAGAACTAATTATACAGGAACACACAACTAAGATCAATCTACATGATTAGTTTTCTCAAGCAATCTTATGCTTGCTTGCATAAATATAAGGACGAGAAGAAGAAGCAATCAAGTACAAATGAAAATATAGTTTTATTGTCCGTGCAGCTAAGAATAAAAAGTAATGGCGAAACATTAAATTTTCGCTTAAATATTTTGTAATTTATCTTATTTTTTGACACTTATAAATAATTAAAATGTGTAAATTGGCGATACTTTAAAAAATAAATTCTTTATATTTTAATTTTTTTATAGAGTAAGTAATTTAATACATCTCTGGTAGATAAGAGATGAAGCGACCATGAAATACAACGCCATCTCTTGAGAAATTAGTTATATGTTTATATATATTATCAGTTTGTTATTGAAGAAAAGTATATAAAAATGTTAGGAATAAGTTTATTTTCAAATATTTCTAAACGTTTGGTGAGATATTTTTCTTTCATTTTTTAAAACGCTTAATATTATATATAACCTCGTGCATATATACGTCATTAATATGAAATGTACATTATTGTGCGCATTTAATATAGAATTCAATCTGTAAGCTGATCAGATGATGACAAACTTTTTCAATTGAGAGGAGATTGAACTTTGAAGTTTATTCTCTTACTTTTGTGTATTTTTCGTGAAATACATGCAATTTTTTATTATTTAAAAGTTATTAGCAATGATTTAAATGTTTAAAAATATTAAACTTATTTAATTTCGGTTGTTGGAATGTGGAAAAATGTTATGTCTAATTTAATAAGTAAATGAACAATTAATTGGGGCCCACCAATGGCCAAGCGGTTCCATTCCCCAAATACTGGGAGTTCGGTTGTGGGTTCTCACCTCGCCAGGACAGGCTGTTTTCCGGGTTTTCTCCAAGTCTGTAATTTGTAATGCCTGAATAGGGGCCAGTTATTCTTAAAAAGAACCCCCAAAGGCATCTTTCCGAGGCAGATCGCCCAAGTGTTATGTTGCCGTAACTTAAAGAACAAAACAACAATAATGAATTGATTTATTTCATATGATATTTTTAAAAAATCAATTAAAATCTTTATATATTTGTTTTATTTGTAAAATAATTCACTTTTATTTTGAATATTCTTTCAGTTTTGAAGTAAAATTAGAAATAACAGAAATAAACAGAAGTGCCACTTTCAAATCTGAATGAATATTAAATAACGAATAAACTCAATTTCTTATACTAAATAAACTCTTCTTTGTTGGAGCTTGGTAACTGAAACTGAGAAAATAATACAGTAGATTGGGTGGTGAACCTGTGGTATGTATGCCTGAAGTGACCCAGGAGAATTGGTTGGCATGTGATGTATCATACAATTTCGGTTTGTCGCTCTTCTTTTTCAATAATCCTTTCAATTTGTCATCTGATTATCCTTTGTCAATCAGCTTCTTTACGTTTATTCCAATTAAAGCATTTTCATTTCATGTCCAAAACTTCAGTGTATATAAATATGTTTATGCTCACTATATGGCACATGGACTCAAAAAGGTTTGCCATCCCTGCAGTAGATCCTCAATTTAAGGGACTTTGGATTTAACAGAAAAATTTCTGTTCTAAAGGAAAACTTTAGAGCTTTTTTTTTTGCAGAAAGAGCATGTTGAAAGATGGTCAATGAGTATAAATTATACAATATACATTATAACAATATTTTAATACATCTTGTACATTGTAAGTTCATTATTGATACATGTTTTTAAAACATGTTTGAGATTCTTTGGCAATAGTTGATGCACCCTTATCTCAATTAGTCTGTTAAATCGAAGACCTATTGTTCTTGATTTGAATTACTGATCTCCAATAAAGCAGAGTTATGAGTTTATGTTGAATAAATATTAAAACTGCTTTATTAGAGCAGAGCAAATTATACTCATTTCCAGGGTGCAAAGCTGAAAGTAATGAGTCAAGCTGTTTTTTTGAATGTATCATAAATCAAATTTAAGTTAAATAAAGTTTTCAGCATAATATTTTTGTAATTTCCTGTTATACTGAAATAATTTTATATTTTTTTGGTGTTTTTATTTATATAAAATAAAAATTATATTAATTAATAGCAGTCCAAATAAAAGAAAAATTAAGTATAACAAGAAATGTAAATGAATTAAATGAATAGATACAGGCTTATTATTTCATTCTAATATATTGTCTAATAAAATATACTGTGCACTACATAATACAGTTATTAAAAAAATAAAGGAAAATTTAGTTGAATGCATCCAGACACAAAAATATTTTAAATTGAGGAAAGTGTTTAATATATAATTTAATATATACTTGAAATTGAGGAAAGAATACATGAATATTGTATTGCTTATTAGTAATATGATGTCAATTATATTTAAATAAAATTTTTTGCAAACTTTAAACTGGAATTAGCAGTTTTTAATTCTTAAAATTTCAAACATCCATCATAACACAATTATCTCAAATTTTTGAAACTTATTGAAATTGTTTTGAAATTATGACTACAAAACATACTCCACAGTCATCACTAGAAGTCTTATCAATATTCTTGGAGAATATATCTTAAAATTCAATACCAAAACAAGCAATAGATTACTAGATATTAAACATTTTCAGTTTATTTATAGACCATCATAGGGATATATTCAAAATTTAAAATAGAAACATTTTAGAACAACAAAGTGAGATCATCTTATATGCGAGTAAATACAGTATATGAAGAGATACTTTGTAAATAGGTTTTTCTAAAAAAAGAAACAGAATAAAGTATGTTTATTTTGAATAAAATTTGTTTACAAAATTATTCATTGCAAATGTTTAAAATGTTAATAAATTTCAGTAATTGTAATAAATTTTTCATTAATATTTGTTTTATAAATTTTATTTAGTCTAAAATTTTTTAAGCAATTTAATCTATAAAACACATTTATCTGTCCTTTGTTCATTAATAACCTCATTTTGTATTATAAAATACTATTGTGGGTAATAAATAAAATTCAAGGGGTCAAAATTTATTATTGAATAAGACATTTTGCATTTTGTCGTCAGTTACTAAGGATAATACATACCTTTTGAAATAAAATATAGGACATAAAATACTGGTTTGTATTTTATTTTCAATTGGTCAATGTTGTTCTTAAGGTCTGATCAGACAATTAGACAAAGAATCATCATAGAAATGTTTTAATATCTGATCAGATCAGCCATTACTTATTCTTGCAACTTTAACAAGTGAGTTACATGTTTTGGCTAAATGTCTTTATCAGATTATAATAAAGTTGCAAACTTTTATTAAATAAAAATTTTAAAGAGTTTTTAAAAAAAAGTAATACAAGAAAACTACAATTATTTAATTAATTAACCATTGTTTTCAAATCATGAGAATACAAATCTATAAATGCCATGACATTCAATTGTGAAATACAGATATCCCAGTTTAATTCTAAAAACATTACACATTAATTAATTTAAAACATAAAAAACAATAAAAGTTAAATATTACTATTTTTTTCCTCTTGATTTTCAATGTCATGCAAAACATTTAAAAGTGGTGTTACAAGATTGTTCAAAGTAATGCACCAGAGGATGCTTCCATGCATAGCATGTATGTATGTACTATACCATGTGGGGCACTGTCCAGGGAACATATGATTTATGGTGTAAATTGCCATACAAGTAATCATCAAGTTATCTTTACAGTTAATTATTATTAACAATGCCAAACTGCACTTTTTAGTCATATTTTTAATTTATTTAATTTAAAATATATGCTCTCCACCTCAAATTAGTAGAATTTTGCCCCTGTTCATCATACTTTCCTGCTAGCAATGGAGTTATGCCAGTCATCTAATCCTTTCATGGAGAAATTTTTGAATTGAAATAACTATATATAAACTTCTGGTTTGCATCAGAAGTTTGTATATAGTTAATTGGAGCTCTCAACATTCATCTATCTAACTCCATTCTTGAGATTAAGGAAAGACAGATGGACAAATGACAGAGCGAATGTGTAGATCTACAATTTCTTCAAATTGCAGCTCAATTACTTAATGAATGTGTAACTTGGAAAATTACAACATGTAACCATTTTATTATGATATGACACATAAACTAATCAGTATTATATATCTTGATGATTACATGTTATGACAATTTATACTGTAAATAACATATTCCTGTGTCAATGCTTCCTATAATGCATACATAAGTGTTACAAGTGCCTATATGAAAATGCTAGATCCATTATATCCAAAAGATATAAAGATATGATGATATCACATACTTCCTAAGTAACTAATCATGAATATTCCAAAACATTTCCATGTAAACAATCTGAAATGAAAACCAGAATCTAATGTAAAATGTATAAGAGAAATATAATTTAATGATTAGTAAATAAATGAGCAAAATTAACTTCTTCCTGTAAATAATTTAATATAAATTTGATAAAACATTTATGATCTTACAGAAAAAAGCAGATCTTGTGAGATCTGCTTTTTGTGCCTTTAGAATCTGCAATGAATATTATAAACACTATACATACAGCTGGAATTATTATATTACTAATCAAAGTACCATTCACACATTTCCAGCAGGTGCCCAACATTGCAAAATTGAACATGAATAGGGCAGAAAGCATTTGCACTTTAAATTTTGCAATGTTGGGTGGCTGCTGAGAACATGTGAAAGATACTTTTGATTAGAAATGTTAAACAGCAGAGAAAATGATAAAATTTGATTATATTAAATTTTATTTTTAATATTGTAATTTTATAATTACAGTTAAATATAATTTTATTAAAGATTGAATGTTAATATTCTAATGATTGAAAATAATTTATTTTTAGTTTGTTCATTTTAAAAGAATAGATCAGTTAAAATGCTCTTTAGCATCAAGTCCTTTATCATCAGTAACTAGTAATAAGCAAGGACAAATGCTCCTTTACCAGAACTCACTTCCTTCACTTCCAGTTCCACCTTTGCATCCAACTTTAGAAAAATATTTGCTTTCAGTACGTCCATTATTAAATGAAGAAGAATATCATCAAACTGAAAAAGTAAGTAGACTATTTATTATGTGAAATTTTACTGATAATATATTAAAAAAAATTTTCATCTGAAATCTTCTTATTGAGAATTAACCATATAAAATTTATTTTTGATTTTGATTTTTTAAATTTATATTTACAAATATGAAATTTTTAAATAAGTTTTTTTTAATATATACAGAATGTTACAAATAAAATGAACTAGTCCCATAACTTGGAAATAACAAAAGGTAGGAGGATAGGACTAATTATGGCCAAACAAGTTGAAAGAGATACATGTCCAAAAGTTGATGAGTGTGTATTAGAGACCTTTGGTTATGGTGTCCTATGGAGGGGTTTCTTGCCAAAGTTTAGTGATCTATGGTAAAGTGACCAATCGTCCTCCTTTAGGGAGGACAGTCCTTCTTTTTTAAGTTCTGTCCTCCCTCGAAAAGTGTCCTCCTACATGTCCTCTTTTTCGATATTTGAAGATTAATCTGTAAATCTCCATATTTGATCGATATCAAGCTGATCTGCTGTATGTGATGTGTTTGTATTTAACGTGATGATTCATCAAGGCTTGGTACAGTGCGGCAAGATGTGATTATGAGACACATGCACAAAAGACTTTGAGAGAGCATGCCGCGTGAAAGTGGCTTTGTTTACTTCTTACTGAAATATTACACGGCACATACACATGTAGTAGATATTATTATAGTCTATTATTGTTGCAATGAATAAAATGTTTCTTTTATTACGATATTTTTTCCTTCAATTTATTTGTGTCCTCCTTTTCATTGTAAAATAGTTGATCACCTTATCTACAGGATCAAAAATAGTGCTTAGAAAGAATATTAAAATCTAAACAACACTTACTCTGAGGTATTTTTGATAACTTGCAGCTTTGTCAAGTAAAGATGCAAGTCACAAATGGCAAGCAGCAAACAGATTGACTGTTGTTAGATACATGTTTACAGCTCTGTACTGTTAAAGCTGATCATACAGACCACAGTGTAGGTATGACAGTTGTATACATTTACATGCTTGCCTGCCTGCCTTTCCTGACTTACATGTTTATGTTGCACTGTGGTCAAATAAAGTAATCAAAAATTACCCCAGAGTAAATATTGTTTTGATTTTTATGTTCTTTCCAATAGCTCTATTTTTGACCCCACATACAATTGACCATTAGTGAGAAGCCTCTTTTAGGACCTCATAACTCAGGGTCTCTGACACACACACTTGCCAACTTTTGGATTTCTATTATATACTATCATCCATTGCTCTCTGTTTGGCTGTAATTAGTTCAATTCTCCTACCTTTAATCATTTCCAAGTTATAGAATTTTATTTTTAACATCCTGTGTATATAACTAGTAAATAAGTATATTCAGGGTTTCTATGCACCTGGAAAGTCATGGAATATCAGGGAATTTGCTTCCTTGGCTGCCTTGATGACTTTTTGCTGACAATATGCTTGACTAAGTGTAGCCATCTGCAGGCAGCAAGAAGTAATGTGGTGCAATACAACTTATGAAAAAAGATGCAGAATATTTTCAGGACCCAAAATTTCTCCTCCCAAGCATATACAAAATTTTCCTAAAAATTTACAAAGTACACAAAATATAAATAATACCATTTAAATTACTGTATTTATCATTTTTTATTTTAATAATTTTGATTGCATAACAAAACAATTTTTGATTTTTTTCAGTTTATTAATATTTTATAAAGTTTAGAATTTTATTAAGAGATAAATTTAATAAATATATACTTTTGTACATGGATTATATGGAATTTGTTAATGAATAATAAAAAATAATTTTTTTTTCTTTTTTCAAAGCTTTGTAGATTTATGGTTGTGGATTAATAACATATTTTTTAATAAAACATTTAACATTTTATTTTTAATTTTAATTTAGCAATTATAAAAAATGTATAACTGCTAATTAGAAAAAATAACTAATTAAAACATTGGAGAAGTAAAACATATATGCATAGGAAGTCAAATGCTGTTTTATTTTGTCAATGTGCCATACTGTAAGAGATGTGAAGGTCAGGGAATTTGTACAAAGTTGGTCAGGGAAAGTCATGGAAATTAAAACAGAAATTTGAGTAGGAACACTGTATATTGGTAATCTTTAAACAACACCAATTAATTGATGTTGAAGAACATTTTATAATTGATAATTTATGTTACTTTTTCATAAAACTATGTGCAATACATTAATAAATTAATAGGCTGACTAAATCAATGAAATGAAAAATAACAAAACAATATAAAAAAATCAAATGCTCAAATAACAGTTTATACATGAAAACAACATTAATATTATATATATGTCACTGTTCGTTTATGACCACAAAGCCTTTTATGAAAATTAATGACAGATTGAAAGGAGAATTTATAGATTTACTGTAATTGGATGAAAAATTATATTAGCTGTTTTTTGTAAACGAAATAATAATTTCTTAATAAAATCAATGAAATGTAATGCAGTTTATTTTGGTTGCATTATTTCAAACTATATAAAAAATATATTTTTTTTTGAAATATTCAAAAGAAAGGATTTTTAAAATTATTTCATGATAGAAAAATTATAATACAAAACCTAAAAAGTACATAAGTGTTTTTGCAGAGCAAACTCTTAAAAAACAATACTGTATTCAAAATACAGTGTGTCTAGTCACCTTAATAATTACCTTTGAATTACATGTTATACATGACTATAAATAAGACCATAAACATATGAAGTGTGATAGTACAAGTGAGCATATTAGATGTGTCAATGAAAGAATTAATCATATTCCAAAATTGAATAATAATACTTATAGAAGCATTTAGCTAGAAAATGATATTTTGACAATTTTGTAGGTCTCAAGATCAATAATTAATAATATGATTTGTATTAGATAAAATAGTATAAAATAGTATAAAATTACATTCCTGGAAAGTACTAAAGTTCACTGATTATGATTAAACTAGAAGAATTTATTTTAAATACCAATATCATTATTATAGGTTACAAAGGTTGTTAAGGAAGCATTATGTAAAATATTTTCACAATAGAATAAGCAGAGAGCTGTGTAAGTTTTCTTTTCATGTGCATTCAGTCATCTGTTAATCACTTCTTCAAATTTCCTTTCAAGTATAAGAAGTATCATTGCTGTTCCATAGATGAACAGAAAGATATGCTTCAGAAAGATTACATTTATAGGTTTTGATTTATTTATTGTTTTGATGGATGGGTCTATATATAGAAAATGATAGGAGAACATAAGCTGTTATATTGCTGCCTCTATCAAGTTCATTCTAATAATGAAGTTTGATAGGAGAAACTTAGCAATCTGAGATTGTATTGCTTTCTAGAAGTTAGATTCAGTTCAAAATCCCAACAGATCAAAGGCCAAACATGCTAAATTTTATCTGATGTAAATTTGATATGTCATAAAATAAATTATTATCAAATTTGTGCAAACAAATGTCTGTTTGTATAATGAGCCAATGTCAGAACACTATCATAAAAGTTTTGTTAATTAATGTCATTTTTTTATTTTCTATTGAAACTATATAGTTTCAAATTACAAAAAAATTTATTAACTTATATAAATATCAGAAATTATACTTTGTTTTGCTTAAACTATATGAAACTGCCAATAGAAATTTTGTTCAGATTTGCAAAAATTTAGTTATAAAAATTTCCTTTCAAAATTTTCATTGGATTAAGAATTTGTAGGAACAGTGACAATATCAGGTCTTTGATTACATTAGAATTTTAATATATCAGGCTTTTGATACTGTTGGGATATTGATTGTATCCTCTAAAAGTTATGCCTTTTCTTTTATCCAAAACAATTAATAATATGAATATCAAAGTCACATTTAGTGTCTTCAATATTCATTTATTACTCCTGTTATATCATACTTTGGGGTACTGATATCTTTATCATTAGAAGAACATCTATATCTTCAAATTAATTGCAAAAAAGGTCATTTAAACCACTGTCACAGTTATACTAGTGACAATGATTTGAATATGCCAAAATATACAAATATGAATTAATTAAATGCAAATTTTGAAAATTAAAAGATTTATGAAGATAAATAAAATTAATTAATGTTAAAAAAATAAGTGTACTAAAAAGTTGTTGAAATTTAAAAAATTGAAACAGAAGGAAAATCCTTTAATAATTACTTCATATTTATAAAATTTATGTATATTTAATAAATATCTTTAGATTCAGTTCTGTGTTATTATTTTAAAATATTTTCTCACAGATTGTACAAGAATTTGGTTCACCTGGTGGTTTGGGTGAAAAATTACATTTTCTTTTGGAAGAAAGAGCAAAGAACTGTGAAAATTGGGTAAAAATTATGTGAAAATAAGAAAATTTTTTTAATTGATGAAAGTTAGAATCTAATACAATACCATAATGTCTTTTTTTTCCTCTCACAGTTATCTGAATGGTGGTTACAAACAGCATACCTTGAATATCGTATGCCAGTTGTTGTCTATTCTAGTCCTGGGCTTGTCTTTCCATTACAAAACTTCACATCACAAGTTGATCAACTTCGGTAATTAATTTGATATTTATTAAATAAGCTCAATGAAATCTGAGCTTGAGAAGAACAAAATTGTTAAAAAACAAAATAGACACAAACATATTATGTGCTTGTGTGTTTTTTTTTTAATATAATGCATATATTATGAATTATATATAATATAATATCTGTTTTGATTAAAAATAATATAATTTTGTTTTTAACAGAAATGATCTATATATATATAAAGGAAAAGGAATAAGCACTGAAAAATGTCACACAGCCACTCAGAATCAGAGTTTCATTTACAACACATGATCTACATTCTAACAATCAAACAGTTTTAATATCACCTCTAGTAACTGGAAGTTTCACTATTATTTCTATCTCACTTTAAAGATTTAATTGAGGATTTTAAGTACTTACACTACATTTTGATTTAAAAGTTTGTTGTAATCTCTTGTATTTATTAAATACAAGAGATTACAACAAACTTTTAAATCAAAATGTAGTGTAAGTACTTAAAATCCTCAATTAAATCTTTAAAGTGAGATAGAAATAATAGTGAAACTTCCAGTTACTAGAGGTGATATTAAAACTGTTTGATTGTTAGAATGTAGATCATGTGTTGTAAATGAAACTCTGATTCTGAGTGGCTGTGTGACATTTTTCAGTGCTTATTCCTTTTCCTTTATATATATATAGATCATTTCTGTTAAAAACAAAATTATATTATTTTTAATCAAAACAGATATTATAT